GAGAGACGACAATCTTCCCGGAAGCATCTGGAAGGAGAAAGGGCGGTGCCTCTGAAGGGCCCTGGTCGAAGCACTGGGTCACGGTCACCATGCCAATCCAATGGGAGTAGGTCACGCATGCGATGGCTGCTGTCCATTTTGGCACTTGCTGCGCTAAATAGAAGTCCTGCCGGGTGTGCCAGCCCATGACAGACGCTTACCAGACCGTCTATAAACATTTCTGGTTGGGAGTTCATTGTGAATCTGGCTGTGATCGTCGTCCTAACTGCGATGTTAAATAATTCCTGCAGAGATGGGGGCGCTCTGTAAATTTCTCCTGATCAGCCAGATCACATGGACAGGAAGGCTCGTCGCCGTACGAGGGTAAATAAGAGTGGTTGGGCTGGCTTGCTCGGTAACAACTTAGGCACAGGGGTGGGCCGAAATACACACGAAGACACTGTCTGCTCAATGATGTTGTCTAGTATGTTGGATTGAGGGGAGGGTAGGTTCTAATTGGTGCTCAACTGAATACACAACCATACCCACTCATCATACATCTGCTACATTGTCTTTTTGTACTTTTGATTAGTTGGTGGACGGACTGCTAACCTCACAGACAGATTAGATTAGGACTGTTGTATGCTTCCATAGCCAGTTCTGTCTAATGCTGTTGTAAGTGAACCAATCAGAGTACATCTAGACTATGTAGACAATCTGTGTGAATGTTGTAGTCATGCCACTTGGTTGGTACAGTAGGGGACTTGCCGGACACAACTATTGTTAGAAAATTAGGTGTCGGTCAGATACATGCTGTGGTAGGATTCCACTAGGGGATTCTAGTGCAGACACTATCTGCCTAACTAATGAGTGGGTCAGATCTTGTTGATGATAGAGCTGACAATAGGAGACTAACACGTGCAGAGGCACTAAGGGTACCGCACGTGTTCCAGGCCCTACAACCCGGAGACGAAAGACGGCTTATAGCCGAACATAGAGCCCGTGCTCTAGCAGCAGGACTACAGGAAGCAAACAGAGCAGCAAGAGAGCAGGCAACAGCAGACAGAGCAGCAGCGATGACAAACGGCGCAAGCTCTGCTGCGTCATCGTCTGCGTCCTCGTCAGGGACTAACGGGACTCATTTGGGAATGCCACTAAGTTCCACAAGTTCCACGGGCACTTCCGGTTCAACA